GGGAGGTGCCATGCTTGTCCCCAGCTACGACACTGCAGACACAGGTGACGTGGCCACCAAGGAGCTCTGTTGCTGCCTCTTGCGTGGGTGGGACCTGCTGGGCTTTCTGTCTGTGGTCACCTGGGTGTTGCTTTCTGTCCATGGTCGCTGGGTCTGAGTCAGGAGCCTCCCAGCATCCAGATCCAAGGAGATACTCCCAGGCCCCACAGGGTTGCTGCCTGCCAGCCTGTCTCAACCCAGAGGTCTATGTTGCTTTGATTTTGTTTTTGGAGAGGATCAACTCATTGAGCTGGGCTAAGCCACAGGAAAGCCACCTGGAACCATGGAGCTGTGGCCTTGGCTGGCACGGCATGTCCACTGGAAGCTGGTCCTGGAAAAAGGTCAAGGGCTGTCTCCTGTTCTCTCTCTTCTTCCCTCGCCTCTCCTCCCCCTCCCTTCTTCCCTGTCTTCCTCCTCCCTTTCCTTTTTCTCTTCTCTCCCTCCCCCTCCCTCCTCCTCCTCTCTCCCCCCCTTCTTCCCTCTCCTCCTCCTCCTCCCTCCCCCCTCCTCCTCCCCACACTGCAGGCTCTGTCCTCTCTGCTCACTTCATGAATTCTGACTCCTATGTACTTATGCCAGACCTTGGGCAAAGCCCTTCACCAGCAGCATTTCGCACAGCAGTCAAGGGAAATACTGTTTTCCTCATTCTAATGTCCACGGAGGCTGGAGGAGCCCTACCTTCAGGGATGATTGGTCTCCTAGGTCAGGTGGTCTTAGCCACTTACCTGTGGCAGCCCCAGAGGCCAACACTCAGAAACAGAGCTCAGGCATCCCCACTGCAAGGAAGCCCACCTTGACTCCCGACCAGAGCCCATGTAGGGTTTTTCCCCACGCCTGTCCAAGTGCTGCTGTGCCCCTGCTTCAGAAAGTAGACTGAAGGGCACACAGCCAGTGACCTTGACTCTGAGGGGTTAGGTCACGGCTGTTCGCCTTGCCTGGGGGGCTGAGGGCTCTGGGGGCTGCAGTCCTGTCCAATTTACCCAGGTCGTTGTGTCTGCTCTGAGTGGTATGAGAGGGCACTCCTTGAGGGTCCTAGAGATACAGTCTGTTCTGCTCTGTGGCCCTCTGAAGAGGACCCACCTGGTCCTGGTCCTCTCCTTAGGCCAACTTACTGGTCTTGTGAGAATGTGCTAGAAAAAGACATGGGGGTGGGGAGTTAATATTGGCAGCTCTGATGGAAAACCCCAGCGAGGACCGAGCCAAGGTGAGAGGAACCAAGGCACAAAGGGGTTATTAATTAATTCTGCTTTTATAGGGAAGTCCCTTGACAGGGGACTTGGCTCAGGCCATTGGCCCGGGGCAGCTCCCAGCTCACCCACCTGCCCCAGCTTCCAGTGCCCTGCCTTCCTGTGGGGACAATGCAACCCAGCAACCTGCGTAGGTGCAGGCTGTGCCGTGCCCACTCCATCCGTGGACGGGGTAACACCATCTCCCGGCCAGGAGATGGAAGTGTGGCCCACAGTGCACAGTGATGGTTACTCTGGTGTTTATGACAGCCAGACATGCCTGCAGACCTGGGGCATCCGGGTGTCCTCTGTGGACCACAACCCTGCCAGCTTCCTGACTGATGTGAGCTGTAGTTTCCAGAAGGCCCTGTGGGCACATAGCCTTTTCCTTGAGGTCCAGTGCATTTATCATTATTTCAAGTTTTTTAGACAGTGTGTGTGTGTGTGTGTGTGTGTGTGTGTGTGTGTGTGTGTGTGTACATAACTGCAGACACCCACTGAAGTCAGAGGTCAGAGGAATCAGATCCCCTAGAGCTGGAGTTATAGGCAGTTGTGACCCACCTAACATGGGTGCTGGGAACTGAACTCAGATCCTCTGCAAGAGCAAATGCTCTCAGCAAATGCTGAGCCATCTCTCCAGTCCCAAACCCCACCCCCTTTTCTGAGACAGGATAGTGTTATGCAGTGTAGGCTGTCCTGGATCCCACTGTCCTCCTGCCTCAGCCTCCTGAGTGCTGGGATGACAGGCCTGCACCATCTTGCCAGGCTCAGAATTCTTGTTCTTGTTTGGTACAGGGTTTCATGTAGCCCAGGCTGGCCTCCAATTTATTAGGTAACTGATGACTTCGAACTTCAGATCTTCCTGCCTATACCGACCAAGTGCTGTGATTACAGGCTTGCGACACCAAGCCCAGTTTTATTCAGTACTGGGGCAAGTACTCCATCATCTGAGCTAAATCCCCAGCCCTCAAGACAATTTTTTTAAGGAAAATATAAAGTGGGTGGGTAACATCAATGTGAAATAAAATCTAATTGACTTTGACAATTAATGGTAAAAAAAATAATTTAAAGCCAGGTGTGGTGCCATATGCCTTAATCCCAGCACTTAGGAGGCAGAGGCAGGTGGATCTCTGTGAGTTTGTGGCCAACCTGATCTATATAGCGAGTTCCAGGCCAGGCCAACGGGGGCTACAGGGAGACACTATCTCAAAAAAAGACCAAAAACTAATAATTTTAAAATACCACATTTTTTCTTTCCCAGTCCAGATTCCAACCCTAGTCCCCTGGTCTCTCCAGCACCCAGGTCCCTCATCTTTCCTCCACACCGCCCTTCCTTGCTATTGACCCCAGCTGGCTCTAGCCAGGCTTCATCACAGTGGACACCTGTTGCTTGGGTCACCAGTGACCCTTTCTCTGTCTCTCTCTGTCTCTATCTCAGTTCTAGAAGTTTCTGTTTTCATGCCCTCATCTCATCTGTGGAACACGCAGTAGGTGTTATCCCCTTTTAAATTGGGGAAAACAGAAGCACCAGGAGGCTGAGGGTTTTGCCATGGGTACAAGGTGGGACCCAGCAGGGCAGTCACAGGAATGTAGCCCTGGTGCAGGGCATGCTCTTATCCCTGAACAGTTCATTTCTGCTTTGGTTTCAGGCCAAGAGGGAGGGGGGAGGGGGAGAGGGAACCGTCACTGGTGTCCAAACCAGGCAAGTTCCAGGCAGGGCTATAGCAGCTCCAAAGGGGACAGCTCCAGCCTTAAAGTCAGAAATACAGCCTTTCTCCTGTGGGACGGGCATATCACTTGCCTCTGTGTCTGTGAGGGAGACCCCAGGACAGGGAGTTCAAAGGGTATGCCCCAGGAACCAGCAGCATGCAAACCATTGGTCTGTGCATCTGATGCCACTGGGCAGGGACCCCTTCAGTGTTGATCCCGGGACAGTGACAGGCTGCTCTTAGATTCACGTAGACATGGATTTCCGTTGCATGACATGGATTTCCGTTGCATTATTCTGTGTGTACTTCAAATGAGAATGACCCAAGGTTTGTCCTCCAGGGGTCTTCACATGTGGACCCGACTCTCACATCACTTCTCTACTCTGACTCCCAGAATCCCAGCTTTCGACAGGCATGACCCTCTAGGTTCCTGACAGTTCTCATAACGTGGAATTTCCCAGGAGGCAGTTTCTCCACTGCTTCTGGAAGTTTCTACCTAGCACCTGACACCCAACCTACATGTTCTAATAGGATCCTGTGGTCAGTGGCACTCCATCACACGGGCACACCAGGGAGGGAATGGACAGGTAACCCCTGAGGGGAGAGTAACACAGGAGCCCAGCGACAGGGAGTGTGTGGCAGTATGATGAGTAGAGTCTTCCTGTTGAGTTCAATACCTACATTGCCGAAAGGGAAGCTGTTTGCCACGTCCCCTGGTTATGTCTGAAGAGATCTTTAACGGTCCCATTTGGGGGAGCATGATGCTTTTATGTCCCAATAAGGCCAAGGTACAACATTCAACCCTATACAGGACACCCCAACACAGGAATGACTCGGGTTCAAACATTAGTGCTACTGAGTTTGAAAAACCCTGGCTTCAAGCTGAGACAGGATTAGCTTTAAATGCAAATTTCAATCAGGACCAACCCTGTGTGGAAGCCTTTCTACCCCAGCCTCCGCCCTGAGACCTGGGCTCCTGGGGACGGCCAGAGCCTGCTCCCACTGTGGCTCCCCCTCACTGGAAGGCTTCCAGTTCCTTCTTCCCCAGAGCTGTTTAAAGGTAGACAGCAGACCTGACTTCTCTCTGCATCTTTACCTCCAGCCGTATGAAGTCATCTCACCTGGGCAGTGTCACTTCCGCACGACGCACATGACCTTGGCCAAGCACAGTAATCTGTGTGGTTGGGTCCTTCTGGATACTTCTGAAACAAGGACTTAAGTCTCAGGCACTCTCAGTAATTTGAAGGCCATCCAGAGGTGTGTGGGGCTCACCATGACCTGGACCCAGCCCCAGCCCCGGCTGGATTTGGGTGCCAGCAACTCTGGGTTGCTCCATCCCTGGCTGGCTGTGGGATCTGAGGGCACTTGCTTAACGGCTCTGAGGCTGAATCTCCACAGTGAGAAGATGCAGAGCTTCACATCATTCCTCTCGGGGTCTATTACGAGAGTAAGTCAGTATGCCGTACCAGGCTGACAGGGAAGTCCAACCAAGCCCATTCCCTGAGCACTTACTAGACCTGGCTCCCAACAGCCTCCCAGCACCTCTGAAGGCATCTAGTTTGACAATACCCATGTCACAGAGGGGGAACTGTAGCTCAGAGAAGCTAAGTGCCTGATCTACGATTAGAATCCGGTCTCATCCTGTCAGCTAGTGGGCAGCCCTAGGAAGTGGGACCACAAATCCCCAGAGACTGTATATTGTGTTCTGTCTTCTGAACCTTCTCCTGCCCACCATTAATGAGTAGTTTCAGCAGGGCCCATTTAAGAATATTGAGTAGTTAGAACTGTGACTCGGGTTGGTGAGATGGCTCGGGGGTAAGACACCTGCCACCAAGCCCAAGGACCCGAGTTCAGTTCCTGAGATCCACATGGTAGGAGAGAACTCACTCCCATAGTTGTCTTCTCTCTCTCTCTCTCTCTCTCTCTCTCTCTCTCTCTCTCTCACACACACACACACACACACACACACAAATAAAATAATTTTTTAAAGTTTTTAAAGTTTTTAAAAACCCACTGTGACTCAAACTGGCTGGGTGAGTGCACTTCCATTCTATCGCAGACAGATTTATTTTGAGAACATGGGTGTATACCTTCCAGAGTCAAAATCTGCAAAAGTCACCTAGGACTGGCAGGCTTGTGTGCCCAGAGCTAGTCAGGGTCTCCCAACCAGGTACCATGCCAGGCGGGGCCAAGTTGGGGTTGGGAGTCTCATGTTCCATCCTCCAGGAGTTCTGGGGTGATGCTCTGTGGAGCTGAGTGTGACTTGGGACCAAATTTCTGTCCTTACTGTTCCCGAGGTTTAGCACATGGAAAGTGAAGGAATGTTCTTGCACAGGCTGTAAAGGAAGCAGAGGAGGAAGGAATCTGTATGAGTTAGTTTGGGACAGGATGGGGGTCACAAGCCTGTTTTATCCCCTTCTGTTCTGGCCACACCAGGGGCACCAGAAAGATGCATTTCTGCAAAGATGAAATCCTTGCCCCCTGGGAATCCTTGAAACTGCTCCAGCTATGGAGCCATCCATCAGCATCATGCCCATTTTATGGAGGGGTGGGGGTAGTGGTGGTGAGGCTGAGGCTTGGAGAGCTGAGTCATTTGCTTACCACATGGTGAGGTAGCTGGGATTTACATCCAGGCCCCACTAGCTCCACAGTCTGAACTTCCACCTACCCTCAGCTGTGGCTTGAGACCTTCCAGACAGCGCTGCACTTTGTCAGATGCACATGGGGCTGGCTCCTGTCATCTGCAGAGAGCTAACGAACTGGCATTGGTCCCTACCTGCTCCACAGTCTCCCAGGGGACTTAACCCTGTATGTTCTGGGATCTGGAACCTGCTGCTTCTCTTTCAGTGATGCCTGGGGGAGCCACTGCCTTCATGGTTGTCATCTGACCTTGAGCTGTCAGCTTTCATGGGTCTGGTGCAGGCGGGGACCCTAGGGTGGCTGTACTCTGAACCTTTGCATGCTCCTCGCCAGCCAGGCCCTTTGACATCCCCTGTTCCCTTGACAGGTCCCCTGTGGTTCCCCACGGCTGGGAATGGTCTTCTTCAGTTCCCTCTGCCTGCCCCCATCTTGTCCTCCAGCCTGCCTGTCCCAGGAAGCATCTTGATCTCAACTCTGGGCTCAGTGCCCCTCCCCACCGGGGCTTCCCTCACCACCATGGGAGGCACCACTTGCATCCCCCTTATTCCTTCACAACACCTTTCACACTGTCACCTTCTCTGTCTACTCGGAGGCTGGCTTGGCCTCTTACCTAACAGGATGCCAAACCAGGAGGAACAGGGACTTGGGTTTGTTCCCTGTGCCGCTGCAGGAACTGATGGGTGAGGAGGGTGCTGGTACCGTGCCTTTCAGACAGGGGCTCCTCATCATATTTCCTGACCGAATGCAGGGAAAGGCAAGACTTGAGGGGCATCAGACCAGAGAGTCGTGTCTGCAGCCTGGTTCTCCGCCCAGTGAAGGAGGAATTTGGAAGGACTGTGGCATTCTGCTGTCACCATCGTGTGGCCAGTGTGGGGATGACAGCAGCCGCCCGGGCACCGGGCTGCTAGCCCACCATCTTCCACTTACCTGCCTGTAGCTGCTTTACTGAAAGTGTCTCTGCTGTCCCTTGCCATGCTCTGCCACGTTCTTTGAGTCTCCCTCTGTAGCAGGAAGACAGTCCATCAGGACAGGTGTGTGCAGTCCTGCTCCAATGCCCACCCTGGCCCTGTGACCAGCAAAGGAGGTCCATATGCCTCAGCCCAGCATGGCCACAGGTCTTGGACACCTCCCTCAGATGAGGCCACTCAGTCCCCTCCTGTACTCTCCCCTCACCCCACACATTCCAGCAAATTCTATACCACTAAGCACTGCCTGGTATCTAATCTAATCTGCTCGACCCACTCACCACGCAGGGCAGCCACAGGGACTCCCATACCACACACTCCCAGCCTTTGGATCACCACATATGCCCATCCTCTGCCACTGTGGCCAGTTCTTTAGGGTAAGTCTTCCTGACCCCTCCTTAGGAAGCCCTTCTGACAACCTAATCTAAGGGGGCCTCGTAGTATCCGATGTGTGGTGTCTAGAGCCCTTGTCACCAGGACCATGAAAGAACTGTATGGGCTTTATGAGCATTTCCTGTCTGAGGCGAGCTGCACTGTGGCAGGAACTGGGTACATCACATTAACAGATGTAGCCACAGCCTCCAGCCTGGGGGAACAAGTAATGCCTGATAAATATGAGCCATGAATTCCTGATAAAGATATGTCATGTGGATGAAAGGAAGGAAGGAAGGAAGGAAGGAAGGGAAGGAAGGATGGGTCAATGGGTGGATGGATGGATGAATTGATGGGTCAATGGGTAGATGGATGGATGGATGAATTGATGGGTCAATGGGTGGGTGGGTGGATGGATGGATGGATTAGTGGATGAATGAATGAATGGATGGAGGGGTGGGTGGGTGCATGGGTGGATGTATGGATGTGTGGATGGGTGGGTGGATGGATGGATGGATGGATGGATAGATGGGTCGATGGGTAGATGGATGGATGGATAGATGGATGAATTGATGGGTCAATGGGTAGATAGATGGATGGATGGATGGGTGGATGGATGGATGGGTAGATGGATGGACAGATTGTGGATGGGTAGATGGGTGGGTAGATTGGTGGATGGATGGATGGATGGATGGATAGATGGGTCAATGGGTAGATGGGTAGATGGATGGATGGATGGATGGATAGATGGGTCAATGGGTAGATGGATGGATGGATAGATGGATGAATTGATGGGTCAATGGGTAGATAGATGGATGGATGGATGGGTGGATGGATGGATGGGTAGATGGATGGACAGATTGTGGATGGGGAGATGGGGGGGTAGATTGGTGGATGGATGGATGGATGGATGGATTGATGGGTCAATGGGTAGATAGATGGATGGATGGATGGGTGGATGGATAGATGAATGGATGGGGGGTGGGGGTGCATGGATGGATGTATGGATATGTGGATGGGTGAATGGATGGATGAATAGGTGGATGAACGGATGGATGAATGAATGGGTGAGTAGATGGATGGATGTGTGGATGGATCGATGATGGGTGGGTGGATGGGTGGATGGATGGATGAGTGAGGGGTAGGTGGGTAGGTGGATGGATGAAAGAATGGAAAGATAGGGTGAATGGTTGGAGCCGAATGGATGGACTGATGTACGGATGGACAGAAGAATGGGTGGGTAGAGGGATGGGAGGATGGGTAGATGGACAAATGAATGGAAGTATAGATAGATGAGTGGATGGATAAATGGATTACAGATGGGTGGACAATTAGATGGGTGAAGGATAGAGTCAGCCACCCTTCCCAATTCTCTGAGTGAAGGTAGGAGGGTCATAACTGCGTCCACTCCAGGTTCTGACTCCAGCATAAGGACCTGAGCCCTCTTGGCTGACACCTGCTCTGCCCAGCATCACAAGGACAGGGCTCAACTTTATGTCTCCAACAGGATTCCCATTTGACCTCAGTCTCGACCCTGGAATTGTATCTTTTCCTCTTCACATAACAAATGCCCACTTCTCTATCCCGAGTCCTCTGTAAAGAAAGAATGCCTTTTTCCTCTCACCTGGATAGACTTTGTAAAATCTGTGTCGCAGGAATCCCCCATCTAGAAAACAAGTGAGAAGGTAGAGCTTCCAGCAGCTCATGAGGCTGTGTTAGTCAGTGTCAGCCAGTGTCTGGTTGCTGTGACAAATATCTAAGGAAACACCTTAAAGGAGGAAGGATCGATTTTTACTTGTGTTTCAGAGGTTTTAGTCTGAAACTGACTGTATTGTTTCTGGGCCCCAGATGAGGGAGGTGAGAGTGTGTGGTAAGGGAGGCTCCTTACCGTACAGCAGTCAGGGGGTTGAGGGGGCACTCTGTCAAGCTCCCAGACACGCACAGGTGTGCTCCCCCGGCCTCCCAGACACGCACGGGTGTGCTCCCCCGGCCTCCTTGTGTTTCAGAGGTTTTAGTCTGAAACTGACTGTATTGTTTCTGGGCCCCAGATGAGGGAGGTGAGAGTGTGTGGTAAGGGAGGCTCCTTACCGTACAGCAGTCAGGGGGTTGAGGGGGCACTCTGTCAAGCTCCCAGACACGCACAGGTGTGCTCCCCCGGCCTCCCAGACACGCACGGGTGTGCTCCCCCGGCCTCCGAGACACGCACGGGTGTGCTCCCCCGGCCTCCGAGACACACACAGGTGTGCTCCCCCGGCCTCCCAGACACGCACGGGTGTGCTCCCTCGGCCTCCCAGACACGCACGGGTGTGCTCCCCCGGCCTCCCAGACATGCACGGGTGTGCTCCCCCCGGCCTCCCAGACACGCATGGGTGTGCTCCCTCGGCCTCCCAGACACGCACGGGTGTGCTCCCCCGGCCTCCAAGACATGCACGGGTGTGCTCCCCCCGGCCTCCCAGACACGCACGGGTGTGCTCCCCCGGCCTCCGAGACACGCACGGGTGTGCTCCCCCGGCCTCCGAGACACGCACGGGTGTGCTCCCCCGGCCTCCGAGACACGCACGGGTGTGCTCCCCCGGCCTCCGAGACACGCACGGGTGTGCTCCCCCGGCCTCCGAGACACGCACGGGTGTGCTCCCCCGGCCTCCGAGACACGCACGGGTGTGCTCCCCCGGCCTCCGAGACACGCACGGGTGTGCTCCCCCGGCCTCCGAGACACGCAGGCCTCCCAGACACGCACAGGTGTGCTCTCCCAATCCTTTGGACATCTCTCAGTCCAGTCAGGCTGACAACAGTCAATGTCAACTTCTCTGAGGTAAAAATGTTTTCATGATAATACTAAGCAACTGTGTGTTTCATGTTTTCTCCTATGGATGGACCATGGACTATTCCAGAAGCCAAATGACAAGCCATACCACAGTCGACTAGACACAGTAGAGGAGAATCCTCTTCTCTTCATTGCTGAATTAAAGGAAATTGCAATATATATATGAAAAAATGTTATTTTTGTTTCCTATGATATGGGCTTATTATGGCTATTTTACATGACTGTATGTGCATGTTCATGTATGTGCAGTGCATGTATATATGCATGTGAGGGCCAGAGGACAGCCCCAGGTAACAGCCACATTGTTTTTTAAATATTTTTTAAAATTTATTTATTTTTATTTTGTGTGTATGCGTGTATTGCCTGCATGTACGTAACTGCACTGGTGTTGTGCAATGCCTGCGGAGGTCAGAAGAGGCTGTCGAATCCCCTGGGACTGGAGTTACGGACAGTTGTTAGCTGCCATGTGGGTGCTGGGATTAGGTGTTCTGCAAGAACCACCAGTGTTCTTAACTGCTGAGCCATCTCTCCAGCCCCTTAAATATTTTTTAAATATTTTTTTTTGGTCTTTTTGAGACAGGGTCTCCCTGTAGCCCCAGCTTTCCTGGAACTCACTATGTAGACCAGGCTGGCCTTGAACTCACAGAGATCCGCCTGCCTCTGCCTCCCAAGTGTGCTGGGATTAAAGTCATACGCTACCACACCCAGCTAAATTTATTTTTTATTTTATTTATAAGAGTATGTGCCTGACAGCATGTAAGTGCGCCACATGCATACCAGTGGAGGCCAGAAGGGGGCACAGATTCTATTGAACTGGAATTAAGAACCGTTGTTAGCCACCATGTGACTGCTGGGAATTAAACCCAGGTTCTCTGCAAGAGCAGCCAGTGCTGTTAACCACTGAGCCATCTCTCCAGCCTTACCATCTTGTTTTTTGAGACCAGGTCTCTCATTGGCCTGGAGCTCACCAAGTAGGCTAGGCTCACTCACCAGAGAGCCCCAGGGACCCACTGTCTCAGCTCCCCAGCACTGGGATTACAGGGGGTACCTCCAGGCCAGCTGTTTATATGGGTTCTGGGGATCTAACTCAGGTCCCTGTGTGTGCAAGTCAAGTACTTTACCAAGTGAGCCGTCTCCCCAGCTACACGTGAATGTTTTTTAATGCCTCAGCCATAAGATGCCACACACTCATGTTGGAACCCTGTAAAGCAGCTCCATGCAGACATTCCAACAGGAGTTTGAGGGTCAAAGCGGTCCTGAGACCAAAACATTTGGGAACCACTGCCTGGGCTGTGAGCCTCACATGACCAATGAATGGTCCAGAAAGAGCTGGGGAGACTGTGCCTCTGGTGGGCCCGAGGCCTGCAGCTTATTCTCTCTCTCTCTCTCTCTCTCTCTCTCTCTCTCTCTCTCTCTCTCTCTCTGTCTTGCGCCCTACTCTATCTCTCTCCACCTTATTGTTTGAAGACAGGGTTTCTCACTGAACCCAGAGCTAGGCTGGCAGCCAGCAAACTCCAGGTCCCCAGTCTGTCCTCTCCCCATACTGCTGGAATCACAGGCTCACAGCCACACTCGGTTTTTTTATGTGGGTGCTAGGGATTGAACTCAGATCCTGGTGTTTGCTTAGTGAGTACTCTTACCCTCCAAGGCAGCTCCCCAGCCCCAGAAAATTATTCTCAAGCAGCCCAAGGAGGCTGCCATGGAGAGGAAAGGGAGGTTGCTTATCTGAGTCTGGGCTTGCTTTGAACACGCAGTTAAATAGGAAACTTGAAAGCTTTGTCTCTCGGTTGCTGGGCTCATGTGGCCTTGTGCTCTGTTGAGAGTTCTGCTCTAAAGGAAGGTGGGGGATTTAAGATGTTTCCAAACTCAGGCATAATTACAATAATTATTGCTAAGTGACAGCCCCTAAGGACAAGGCTAGGGAATTCCACTTCGACTTGGGAGGCTGAAGGTGTGCCTATAGGCACGCTCAGGGGACAGCTGGCTGGAACTGCAGCTCCTCTCCCTCCGCACAAGCGCAAGTGTGTGCCTCCTCTTCAGGTCCCCCTCCCTCTTCCTGCCTCAGGACTGGGGGTGGGGGCAAACTCACTTGGGAGCTGCTTGTGTCAGAAGTGACCCAAGCACCTCACAGACACTCAAACCTCAGAACTAGTAATTACTATGTTACATCCACAACCCCATTCTACAGACAGAGAAGCTGAGGCTAAGAACTATCTGGAGTCAGCAGAAAGGAGCGAGGGCTGTGAACTACTTTTGAGCCCTCGCTCTTCCCCAGCTCACCCGTCTCCAACCCACAGTTTTTGTCAGACTTGGGATCAAGTTTAGAGATCGAGGTCACTAGTGTGGTCCTGTTGAAGCGTCTGCTCTCAGCTTAGCTCCCTCCAGAACTGGTCTGAACAGGTTTGGCTTACCTCAGTCTTAGAAATCATTCAACTGAATCTTGATAAGATCAGGAGACCAGAAAGACACTTCTGGGGCTGAGGATGTGGCTGGTGGAGAGCTCGGCACGCTTGCATGGAGCCCTGTGTTCAATCCCCAGCACCACAAGCATGGTGACGCATGCCTTGTAATTTGGCACTCAGCAGGTGAGGGCAGGAGGATCAAGTTCAAGGTCATCCTCAGCTATATGACAAGTAGAGTTCCAGACAAGCTTGGGGTACATGAGACAGAGAGAGAGAGAGAGAGAGAGAGAGAGAGAGAGAGAGAG